TGCTAACATTTATATGCTCTAACTACATGACTTGATCAATAAATGAAAGGCATAGCTGCCTTCCATTGTGCTTGCAAACTCAGAGCCTGAGTTGAGGTCTGTTTCAAAACTCAGCTATTTCAGTTACAGTAGTTGAGTTCTGACCATAAGGATATAGACAGATGTAACAGTCGTAGTCGTATCAAAGTCTATAAGCAGGGACCTATTTAATTCACAGTTTCATGGATTTCATGGTTTCAGCAAAATCCAGGATTGTCCGCAAAATCTACAAAAACCCCCCCACCCTTAATAAAAATAAAATGCTTGCTCCCCAGTGGGAGCCAGCAGTCCTTGCTGCCGAGACAGGGAGGTGCCAGTCAGTGCTGAGAGGCATGGCTACACCAAGTGCAGCCAGCATCAAGGTGGCGGCCACCCCCTTGCCCTTCCTCCCCCCAGGCCTCCCTGCCAGTCAGTGCCAAGGGGCGGGGCTGCCACAAAATGACTGTAGAATTAGAAACTTATGTCGCAATCAACTCCCAAAATTGGTAAACATCGTTTAGGTAGACCCCTAGATACAAGCTATGACAAAGGAGCTGCATGATTCTTTAGCAGATCTATAGCCGGACCACTCTGTCTTTAACCGTGCTTCTTTCAGGGTCAGTGTTAGAGCCATTTAGCTAATTTTATCGCTATGGGGTCACACAATAGTAACTGTTAGATTGTAACAGCTGCTGCATACTCCTGAGCAGCAGTTGTCCTTCCCTTTTCAAAGCAGCTAAAAAGTATGTTTATCCTGACCCTTTCATGTATTTACTTATCTTTACCTTCAGGTCATGTTCCTCGGGGAGCTAGAAGAGATCTTGGACGTGATTGAACCTTCACAGTTCGTCAAAATTCAAGAGCCCTTGTTTAAACAAATTGCCAAGTGTGTGTCCAGCCCTCACTTTCAGGTCTGGAAGACCAGTAATTTATCTTGTTTTTTTATCTACATACTTCCCGAGATCCTATATATGTGCAATATCGGATGCCAAGAACCGACTTTGTACCAGAACACATTTGCTCTCGGTGTATCTGCAGACTTCCGTGTAAAAGTCTGTTACAGCAGCAGTCCCTCAACTCTGGGATTTTGAAATGTGGAAGGAGGGAAAGCCTTTCCCATGGGGTTTTCTCTGATACCCACTTAAAGGAGGCTTTAAGCCACAATTGGGCTTTCCTGACTATAAACTCCACCAAGGACTGAGCCCTTGCATAGACCGTTCTGAGGGATTGCGTTAAGCTGCCTTGGCCTCTCTCTGCGTCCTATGGCAGGCAGCATTGCTTACAGTCACTGCAGTGCTGTGCTCTTTGACTTGGTTCCCAGTGCACTGTCTGTGCTGAGACTTGTGAAGGATTCTTGGAAGAGAGTCTTCTGACTCTCTCTTCTGTAGTTCCTTTGCTGGTGGATTCTGCCTGGCAGCTCCAAGGCTTCAAGAGCCCCTTTTCCCTGTTCCAGCCCCTTATATGTTATGAGGGCTAGAATGGGGGAGAGGATCTTGCCTCAAATGATTTAGGAACCAGGTCATGCCAGTTACTGAGCATATCCATACTCTTGGTTGTCTCTGCCTTCTCTGGAAGTCAAAGCTTGGAGCACTCCATGTTGTGCTCTGTGTCTGCCATGCGTTTAGGTGTCAATCATTTTTTTAACTAGGTGAAAGTTTGCAAGGAACTCAAGCACAGAATGTTTGTACCTTAATTTTAACATTAATCTTATTTTAAATATACTTGGAAGACTATTTTACTAGGGCTGTGTAAAGCTTCAGTTGCTGATTTGCTTTGGTGGAGATTTGGCCCATTCGGCGGCCGAATCTCTGAATCCAGATTGAATCAGGAGGCCCTTTAATCTCTCTGAACGAAATTGGAATCCTCCGCATCGATTCAGAGAGATTCAACAATTCGGCCGTAGACATGGCTTTATATGTTTTTTCTACATACCTCGAGGTACTAGAAGTGGCTTGTGAATGCTGCGATGTTGGCGCGAATGGAGCATCTCACAGGAGCGTCGGGGGGGCCCACATGCTCAGCAGCAGACCCGAAAGTGGACTGGAAGTACTTCTGGTCCACCTCTGGGTCCACCACCGAGCACGTGAGGGTCCCACCCCCATGCTCCTGTGGGATGCTCCATCCGCCCCAACATCTCAGCATTCACGAGCCACTCCTGGTACCTCGAGGTATGTAGAGAAAACAAAGCTGTGTCTATGGCCGAATCGCCTATTCTCTGAATCAGAATTGAATCTTCAGGTTCGGATTCGGCCAAATAGAATCGAGACAGTGATCTGAATCAACTAATCAAATTACTGTCTGACAAATTGGGCAAAGTCTAAATCGAATGTGGACTGCTTCACACACCCCGTATCTTACATTAGTGTAAGTTATACAACTGATTAAAACGGCAGTTACATTATAGAAATAATACTCTTTCACTAATTTGTTCTGGCACAGTATATTTTGTGGCTTGTTATTACTTTAAAATATTACATGTTATGTCAGTCCCTGAACATTTTCTAATTGGTTTATTCTTCTCAAAGGTGGCAGAAAGAGCACTGTATTATTGGAATAATGAATACATCATGAGTTTAATAGAGGAGAACTCCAATGTTATACTTCCTATCATGTTTTCCAGTCTTTATAGGATTTCCAAAGAACACTGGAATCCGTAAGTTTTGGAGCCTTTCCACTTCTTAAAATGTCTTTTTTTTTTTTTAACTTGGGAAAATTCATATAAAGAAAATAATGAAGAGATAAATTCTGAGTTGGCAAAAGCAGGTGCCGTTTGGTTAAAGCCAGTGAAATTTTAACCACAGCGTAACTTGGCTTAGAAAATGCAGTTCAAAAAAGCCTGAATTTTATGTAACAAAAGCAAAGTAGATATTTTTATGATAGAATATATAGGAGCAACGACTGCAAGTAACCTTATCCTCTTTTAAAACCTTGTGTTTATTATACATTATAACTATAAAGTAATAGAAATGAGATATTTACCAAGGAAGGCTATCAAGCACCAAGAATTTCTGATGCTCTGTTAATGCAGTTATGCCCTAAACCTGCTCACTGAATTGGACCATAAATTACCCAGGAAACACCACTTGGTCATAATAAATCGTTGTAGGTACATAATTCTTATAACAAGTATTCTTCAACAGCAACATTCTTCTAAAGATGCACATACTTTTCCAGATTCAGTTTCTTTTACATAAATGTAATCAAATGTCATAAATCCAAATTAAATTACCCTATGTGATATCCAGGTTATTTACTATTATTCTAAAAACTCTCTGCTCTCAAAACTACTACCACACACTATTTTAAGAATATATTTGGCTCTTCACATGATCAAGAAAATGCAACTCTTCAGTTAATCTGAATTTTATATTTTATAAGGAAGTTAATAGAAAGTTTTCATGAAACTATTCCGCACACATCTCATCTGTTTGCTACCTGGCTTGCAAAGCATGTCTAGGGTTTGGTGGATACAATACAGGTTTCCCTTGCTTTATGTGGGTTTTATATGTGCAAATTTGCTCTTGTGTGATGACCCTTTTTATACCAAAAATTAATTATATGCGAGGTAAATTTACTGTTATGCCATCGATGTGGTGGAAGCTCGCAGCCAGCTGCTGTGTGCAGTGCATTGTGGGAGTGATGCACACCAAAATATAGTCTCCTGTGTGGATGTTCCAGTTCTTGAATCTTTGCTCAATTACCCCCGGCCCCACCCCACCTGTGTTGGAGGGTGATGAGAGCTCCGTGCCTGTTGATTCTCCTGTGGATGTTACCCTGCCTGTACCTTCTACTAGTGATGGTGGAGTCTGACCCTGAAGACTCTTCACCACCCTCTCTTCACACCAGCTAAACATTCACCGCCACCCTGTGCTTGTGTGTACTGTTTGCTGTTGGTGAACACCAAAATTGTCTTGGAGAAGGAGTAGAAATGGGTCTGGTGGTCAGTACAGTCAAGGTCTTGGAACGTATCGCTATTTGTTACATTGTAAAGTGGGTTCCCTTTATGCGAATTAGAGTTATGCACCATTTTCCAGGAACACATGTACAGCATGAGGCGGGGTATATGTTTAGGGGCTAATGTTTTAGTTTACTACAGTTTTTAGTAACTCAGGCCTATATTATGCACCAATCTGCTGTGTTGTCTAGCTTCTCTTATTTTTGTCTTCAAGTTTTTGCTGATACTTTTTTCTATGAACCATCCACATTTGATTATTGCATTTCAGTTACGTCAACTAGATTAATTATTTTAGTTGTTTGGTTGCATTCAGAATTGTTGAACTTATAGTGAAAAGTCTGCAGATATATGTGTTTAACTGCCTTGAAAGTGGTTTAACTATTGTTTGCTCCATTTAACCAATAAAAAGTGATGAAAAGCCTGATTTTTGCCTTATACAAGTACATAAATCAACTTCTATAAAGTCAAAGGAATTACATCATCATAGCTGAAAGAATAGAATCGGCTCCATTAATTCCATTAAGAAAAGTTGGGGTAAAAGGAGTTATTTTTGGTTTCTCCTATTTCATCTGACACTAATAGACGTCTTTTCTTTGTCTTTTCATTTCATGTTTCAGGGCTATTGTGGCTTTAGTCTACAATGTGTTGAAGGCATTTATGGAAATGAACAGCACCATGTTTGATGAGCTGACAGCCACTTACAAGTCAGATCGTCAGCGGTAACTTTTTAAAGCTTTTTTGTCAGCTGTGCATATGGCCTGCTGCTTATTGTTTTCCTTACACTTTGCTGGAATTGCATAATTTCACACATAATTGATTGCAATGCCTCATTTTTTTTTCCTGCATGCTCATTAGCCTTGTCCTTGCAAAATACCAGATAATATCATGTACAGGTGGTTGTTTTCCCCTTATGAAATACAGTACCCGTTGCGTAGCTTGTGAATCCACATTCCTCACAGAACTCCTTTTTGCTCCACATTCCAAAAGACTTAAACATATCAAGATCTTCAGTAATAAAGAAAACGCAAGGGTTTAAAGATATCACTTTGCTTAAAGACTTTAAAAAGATCACATCAGAGGCTAAAAGGGAGACATAAGGGAGAACCACAACATGGGACTCATTCAGAGAGCTTGCTTTATCCTAGATATGGTCTTAAAGCAGAGAGGCACCTCTCAGCCCTTTCATTTTTTTTCTTATTGAAAGATCTTGCTATATCTGAGTCCTTTAGAGTGCAGGATCCAATAGAGGCACCATTCATACAATCATTAGTTGCACCCTGGTAAAATGTGTTTTGTCTATATTTAATTTTCATATTGCAATTATAGTGCATCATCTTTTGTCTAAAATTTCAGCTTATCCAAAGCGGCAGGTGAAAAAAATGAGGAAACTTCGGGAACTCCGACTCGTTTAAGTCGTGCCTTTTGTGTGACTCAGGGTTCCCACAAGCAAAGCGAAGGGTACTGTATGTCATCAAACCTTGTTAGGTTAGTATAGCCTCTGGAGGCACTTGGAGGCCATGATATATTATTGAATGACCAGACTCATAGTTCACCATCCACTTGTTTTGCTTTGATTTTAGAGATGCAAACATGAAGTTTTATATTTACAGTCTGTAACTGATGAATTGGTTAGATGAAATAATTAATAATAATTTTATTTCTGAAGACTTGGGTTTAAAACTGCACTAAGTCACAAGAGACTTGATTGTTTCTTTGTAGGCCCTAATAGATGAGCCTTAATTTATCAGATAGACCAATCAGGTGATGCAGTCATTTTATATTTTGTAATCAGTGAGACCAGAGAATTCTAAAACAAGGAGTTAGATCCATCAAGGTGGTAAGAAGCCACTGCTGCTAGTGAAGTGAGTTGTTGCTTGAAGTGCTCTCCACACATCCCACACAAGGCTCTCAGCAGAGGATGTGACTTGCATTAATCAAGCTGTGTGAAGAATTTTCCTAGCATATGCTTGATGCTTGCATTAAGTTAATGCTTGCATCTAACTTAAATAGGGCTGGTGCTGATCCTTTTACTACATTTATTTACAAAATGCTATTTTAAAGTAAAGTGTAAGTGTATCATGAAATGTATACAATGGAATATATAACTTAAATATTAAACCTTTTTTAATATTCACAATTAAACAGTCACTGTTTTCTGCGACACCATTAGGTTTCTCTGTTAAACATGGCATAGTGTTCAAACATCTTGATGTGCTGATGTAAGTGCATTAGTATTTGTAGGGTGTCATGTAGTCAAAAGTGGCAAAGAGTTCAAAAAATAACATTACTTAATATGGAAAACTTATGAATGAAATTCCAAGGTAAAACACGCCCCCCAAATGGAAGAGATGAATTGTTGTCTTTATTGGGATTATCCACTTACATACATCTTCATAGAATCAGGGCCTCAGAATAGAAATAAGTGATAATACACGTCCATTGGGTGCCTTATTAGAACAACATTTATAAAAATAAAAGCAGTATGGTTGTTATAAGACAGCTTCACAGAGCAGTTTTCAGAGCAGTTTTCAGTATCAATGAGGATAAGTGTTCAAACATGTGTGAATTAAGAAGGAAGGAGATAAACTACTGGACTGCTTTTAGTAAGAGGACCATGTGGAGTACAAGGATTAGATGATAGTTATCAGGTAAGTTGTAGGTCATTTCACCTTTTCTTATGGTTTATTTTGAATATTTTTTGTATGTAATAGAAATAGAAATTAAGGATAAAATAGATGCTCAAGAAAAAACTTTATTCATGAATTGTTGTGTGTATGTATTATGGTCACAGTGATTCCAGAAAAAATAGATATATAACTAGATGAGCCAAAATAACTGCTCTATGACCAAATATTTGCAGTCTGCATGAAGCAAGATGAATAAGAGTAAAACTTTGAAATCACTGGAAATTTTTTAGAAACATTGGCAGGCAAGTTAAGATTCAGCATCCTTAGCGCTCAGTCATTCATGTGCTGTAAGGTGACTAAAAAAAGAGATGGGAAGTTCTCTGCATCTTGTAGCATCAGCAGCAACCAGCAGCAGAGACGGCACTTTGAGACAGTAATGAACTTAAGAAATTCCTACGTTAGTTGTTTAATTCCATCAAATCCTCCAGGGCAATCTGTTCAGGCAGTGACTGCACAGATTATTTTTAGGGATATGGCTGGATGAAAGAAACAAAAGCATAGACTGATGTTTCAGATCCTGCAAGTTGACTTGAGCTAGCTGATGCCTGCACGCAAGTGGAGCAGTACTAAAGTCAGTCTACTCCTAAAATAGTAATGGAAGACTCGTTCTGGAAAATAGGGTGACTTTTACATTATGGAATGCAAGAGAGAAAAGACGTCTGTATTAACTCCATACACAAAGTTGAAAATTATTGAATAGAACTTGGCCCCAAAAGTTTGTGTTATTTGTAAATGTTATACACTTGATTCAGAAAAAATATTTTAAAATAATTCGAGTGCATTTTAAGTAAGTTTATAAGATGGCTGACTGTACTTTAAAAAGTTGTTTAGCCTTAGATTGTAAATATCTTTATAATTAATAAAGATATTTTAGCCTTTAGCTTAAATTTTATTCTGTTTTCTATTTCTGTATTTTTCAGTTGTTGTAATGTATGCAACAAAACCCAGAAATTGTGGGCTAAAAAAACCAAAACAAAACCAAAAATAAGTAGGAAAAATGTGTGAACATTGGGAAAATTAGTGCTGGTAGTTTGCATCAGAGTAATTTTTTTGAGAAATGTTATATATTTCCTGGCTGTTAACACTTCATTTTATTTCATCTGCCAGTGAGAAGAAGAAGGAAAAGGAACGTGAAGAACTTTGGAAAAAACTGGAGGATTTGGAATTAAAGCGAGGTCTTAGACGTGATGGAATTATTCCAACTTAACAAAAGAAACAAAACAACATTATTAACCTGTGGAGTCACACATTTATGTAGTAGAAGATGGAGCAACAGTTTTCTGTATTGTGCAACTTTACAGTAGATTTCACATTTGTTTCATTATTACAACAGCACTGTATATACCTGTCTCTAAGTAAAGGAATAATAAGGACTTTAATCCAAAGTTTGGACAGCAGATGGACTTCTCAGAACTTTGCAAACATAATAATTGTTTTAACCCTTCTTTAAAACCAGTCTTCAAAGATCTGTTGATGAAAATTGCTATGTCAGAATTCCATTGTCAGGACTTTGTTCTTTATTTATCATTAGCAGAGAGTATGATACAACTTTCAGATGTGAACAATCTTAAATTTAGCTTGTCTTTCTGCTAAACTGTTAAATGTATTTATAGTAAAAGAGAAAAAAAAAGACTGTCATTTCCTTATGAGTTTCTGTAACATCCTCCTTCTCTGGATAACTTTACTGTAATTTTGACATTTTTTTTTCCTTTTGCACATCTTCATGAGTTGAATGTCCATGCAGATCAGGGCCATGGAAAATATAGGTCCCTAATAAAGTTTTGTTTACTGGTGCAAACATTTTCTAGTACCAGTCAAGCACTGGTGCTCCTTTGATTTGAACATTGAGTAAACACAAAGAGGTGATCAACATAGGGGAAGGGGATTTTGGATTCATGCATCAATTTATCGCAAATCTAAACTAGTCTCGAATCCTTTGAAAATGGGCAGTGGTAACACGTACAGAGTTCAGTACCTAACCAGTATTAGCGACATGCTATTGGACATACATACTAGAGCTGTTACTAATAGGTAAATTATTACAAGATCTACGGTTTTTTTTTGGACCGTGTTGAAATAATAACGACAAACGCTAAACAGTACAAGCCTGAAATTGGTTTCAAGCGGTCATGGATCTAATTGGGAAAAGAGTTGAGCAAACAGTTTGGACTGTTTGGAGTTGTTGCCTTACTTTTTAATATGTATTTATAAAGTATTCCAGCAAAAGAGGATGTAGCCTCTGAAAAACATACTCTAGTGATTTTTTGTGACTCTAGTACTATTACTCATCGCAGCACCAGCCCTTTGGTTTTAGCTGGAAAGGATTCTGGATAATATACTTCCTGCATTCTGAACTGGATGCTCATTCCTAACTACTGTATTTGTTACCAAAAGTGGTTCTAGAAATGCTACTGAAAAAAAAATTCTGGAAATCCTAATGTCCTGAGTATTAATAATAAAGTTTAAAATGCTTTTATATCAAAGGTGCATTGTGACCAAATTGTTTAAAACAAAACAACAAGAAAAAGAGCACTGTATTATAAGTATACATTATTGGCTATCTACTTTGTACTTAAAAGTGGAATCTTACATCTTTGGTAGGTAAAATGCTGATAAGACTTATGTACAGTATATATTTAGCTAATGCAGTTGCATTATTATATACCGAAAGGTATGTGTTTCAGGATTTTTCTCCAGGATGCTTTTGAACTGTTATAGATGTATGACAACAGTGAGTTGATAATCCTAAACCATCAGTCCAGCAGTATTTACAGTATAAAGCTGACTTGGTGTTCTTGAGTCTTTGTGATAGTTGCAAACATGAATTTTATGACCTGTTGCCATTGATAGAAATACAATATAAATACAAGCTTATATATTTTTCTTCCTACCATTTAAACATACAGTAGAATTTGAGGTCTTACTGTTTCCAAGTGCAAAAAAAAAGGGGGGGGGGGGGGGGAGGAAAGAAAAAGGTTCAATTGCCAGATTACAGACTGTTTCAGGATTATCAGGTCACAGTTTGTATACTTGGGTCTGCACATATGGATGTTGTAAACTGAACAACTTTGTAAAATCTTGACGCTGTTAATTCTGGAAAAAGCAGAAGTAAACTAGTCATGAAGCACCAAACACAACATGGTTTAATGGGATTAATATAAGCTTCTTTTAAATATGGACTGGGACTCTGTGTGAATTTGGCAAATACTGTCATAGGTGAAACGTTTTATTTTCAAAGTGCTGGAGCAAAGGTGCAAGCTTAAATACTGAAGACTAAATAAATTTATAACAAATACTGTCCCTTTAGCCCTGTGGTTTTGACAGTCTTTTGTTTTTAATTTGAATTAGAGTTAAAATTGATAATGTGAATTTTACCTTTGAAGTTAACATGCGTTCTGAGAGGGCAGAGAGACATATGCCTGGCTAGACTGAGAAATTTTCAAAAACTAAGCTATTATGGAAGAAAGAAATCTCAATGATTCCATGTTTTCTACCTGATGGGAATGAAATAGAACAATGTGAAATTAGAAAAGGTACCTTGTCCTGTACTTAGAGATGAGGTGAGTGTTGACTGTTCATGGATATTCTTAACTTCAGCGTGACCTCCTGGTATTAATCATACAAAACTAACGAGAACCTAGCTGGTTGCAATATTGTGTTACCTCTAATGTGGGGAGAATGGGGAATATCTAAACTTTATAGATGATATATCACTTCCAAGAAGGAATATTTCTTTAAATTGAATGAGACAATGTGATATTAGTCACATGACTAAAAAGCTGATGTAATCTTAAATTGCACTGTGTGATGTACTTAAAGGAGCACTTGTCACAGTAGTACAACAGCACCCATACGATCCACTGTTGGCTGCAACCCAGATGCAATATTCTGCCGTGTTCCATGTGCAAGACTCCCATGAGCAACAGTTGGAGTTTTATGCAAAGATGAAGGCAGTATATGGGCCCAAGTTGATTGTGATCCGTGCATCTATTTAATTAAGCTTTTATTTGCTTCATGATTTCCAGAAACTACCTTTTTTGTTGTTGAATGTCTTTCACAGACTGCTAGCACTGTAGTTGATGGGTGGTCGCTCATCTCCTGTGCCATATTGGTTTCAGGTGATTAAATGTTATCAGGTAAAAGTTTTTAAAAAACAAAAAAAACAACAAAAAACTCCCCCCATCCCCCTACATGTTTGTTACTAGGGCATTGCTTCAGGCCATGGGGGTACAATGGTTGTAAAGTAAAGTTCCTCTTAGGTACTTTTAATTGAGCACATGTTGCTTTCTTCATCTTGCAAGTTTCCCTTATGGTTTTCTTTTCATTGCTTTTGAGTGTTTTTGTGTCTCTTCCAAATATTTGAGTGCTTTAAAAAAATACTCTAATGCTATTGGAGTATTCACAGGCAGGGTTATAGTAAATTAATCTTGGCTTTGTTAACATAAATAGAAGGATTTAATTTATTTTTATCTCCTTCTATATATGGAAAATTCTAGGATGTATAGCCAAGAAAATTGCTTGAGAGTTGCAGCAGCTGTACTTGTATAGTACATGTATAAGTATTGCCTCAGGCTCTCTTACACTATGGAAAAAGAAAATATATTAGAAGCTTTAAAAGCTTTTTTTTATTATTGTTTTGTGGAAAAGGAGACAGGGAAAACTGGATAGATTCTCCCTTCCAAAAATATATCCTGTTGTTAATTGGGTGTGTAGAACTGGCTAAGAATTTTTTTTTTTTTTTCAAATGCTGCATCACAAAGTAACAGTCCTCTAACAAAATAAAGGTGACAACATACATGATCAACAAATGTTTTTATTTGCACATGAATATTTTATTTTTGTATTTTGGCTCACCTGCTTCCCAGATCAGATATGGAATGAGCCACAAATTAGGTTTTCTAGGTGGTGTTGGCAGTGAGTTTTATATTCCCCAATATTGCATTTTCAAAGCCTGTAAAAGGATTGTGTATTTTGAGCAAAACAGCTCATTTTTTAATTTAAAAGAAGGTTTTATGCAGCGTTGCTTCCTGTCGACAGAAGCTGCGGCATTTGTTTAAGAGAAACAGACACTCTTTTTATCATGACCTCTCTGGATTCAGGTTTTGTTGGGGTTGTTTTTGGATCACTTATTGTAAATAAGATGTAATCATAACCTCATGTCTCCATGAGGATTTTTCAAATATAAATAGTACCAATACATTTCTTATTGTTGTCCTATTTTTGATTGTAGTATAAAGAATGACTTGTCATGCTTTTTGTTTAAATTAGCATTAGATTCATAGATGTCTTGATATTTTAGCATTTCATTGTTTAAGCTGGAGAGGGCAGCAGACATTCATCCCCTCCCTCCCCCTCCCCATAGGAAAGCTCTGGTCCATTGCTGTTTTTAAACTTAGAAACTATCTGTGGGTCAGGGGAATAAAATGAAACATTTTTTTTTTATATGTGAAAAGTTGCATATGAAAATATATAGACTGGTCTAACCAGACTGTGAAAAAGTCTTCTACTTTACATCAAAGTAATAATACAAGGAAAACAGAATCTTCCACCTTCGGGGTAAAGCAGGTCTTAAACACATGGATTCAAAATGTTGTTCTTTGGAAATGAGTTACTTTCTTAAAAATGGTATCAACAAAACAAACTCAATGGTGCTCCCAGCTATAAATGTGTAACCTTCCTCTGGCACGTGTGCAAGAGGCTTCTGTACTGTGGGTGCATCTCAATAAAGAAGCAATGAAGTGTTTCCTAGGTGGTTGGCTTTTCTTTTTTCCCTGCCCCCTTCCCCTCAGTCTAAATTCCACATACCATTTTTCAGCCCTGTTTCTCCAGCCATCAGATACCGTTTCTTGTGCAAGTTAAATATTAGGGTACCTCCGTGATGGAAAAATGTGGAGCTGGTAGTTTAACGTTCCCTGGTTCTGTCAAAGTTTCCATTATAAACTTTTGTATTGCAGTGGTAGTGGTGTTCCCTTGTTTTGCAGCCACAGCCAAGACCAAAGGGGAGCAAAAGACAGGGCACATGGGACAGCGGCTATTACCTCTGCACTCTTGCTTCTTCTCAACCCACCTTAAGCTCTGCAGATGGGGAAAAAGCAAGGTTGATTGCTCTTTGTAGTATCATTCTACTCGTGCCATCCCTGCCTCTACTCTGCATCCCTGTCCTGCTCGCTTTCCCCACCCTGAGACTGCGGTTTCACAAGGGGGTGGGGGGTGCCATTGGTACATGGCTCCTACAGAAGAGGAGGTAGTATGGAGGCACAGTGATCTACAAATGGCATTCAGCTTGTCTGATCCATTGGATTGTGTAGATAGCCCTGTAAAGAACAGGTAAGCCTATTAATATACATGGAAAGATCATTTGCCTGGTAACTTGCGGTTGAAATAAATTGTGTATTTAAGAAAGATCTGTGAACGGAAGATTGCAAATCTCTAGATGAATTGTGCCTCTGATTAATTAATTTCACTGTTCAAAATCAGCACCTTATTACCTGTCCAAATATGTCTTGCTTTAACTTCCAGCCATTGAGATTTTTTTTTGTCTTTTTCAGTTAGATCAAAGAGGCCTTGACTATCAGCAATCCCCTTATGTAGTATTTCCAGCCTGAGACCAAATTACTTCTTAACCTTCTAGTGGATAAACTAAATGGATGTAGTTCCTTTCAGTCTTTCACTGTGGGGTAGGTATTCTGTCTTCTGTAGGCTTTCCAGTCCACATCTTTTAAAAAAAAAAAAAAAAAAAAAAAAAAAAAAAAAAAAAAAGAAAGAAAAATCTGTACCAAGTTAGTCCTCAAACAGGACTTCTGTCAATGTTCTGAAGATGGACAATAATTAAGGGGGCAGGGGATATTTAAAAATAGTTCCCTAACATTTGCAATACTAGTACCACGGTTACTTTCTAACTCCCTCTACCTCAGGCATCCTTCTTTGAATGCTTCAGGCTCTCTGACGGTGGTGGGCCTCAACTATTCCATGTTCAAATCACATTGTTTTTTCAATTGTTTTTGTATTTTAGTTTCATGCATGTTCAAAGGACCTGGAATAAGTATTGTTTTCAAATGCCAAAGTCCCTTTAATTTTTTTCATTTACCAGTGTGTACAGTTCAACAGAAAGCATCACATTGATGTTTCAGCCCATTGCTGTGCTCTTAAGTAAGTGTTGCTAGTTTTTAAAATGCTGATCAAACAACCTGGAGGGAAAGAAGTGAATGTAGCCCATACTTTTGAAATAATTTTACCAGGGCATCTATGAAAGACAGAACAGAAGATACTTAGTTAAATTGCTTGTTTTCAGCTGCTTCTGTAGTGACATAGGTGATGAAGCTGTACTTCTTGATTTGCACTGGTTTGTGCATGCCATCACTGGGGTGAATGATGACCTTGGTATGTAGTAGCTTTGACTGCCGTAGTGCAGTCTTGGTTGCTCACCCTGATTCCAGCCAGCCATGATGCCCTCATGAAAACTCACCTGTGGTTCTATATAGAAAAGCAGTCAGCTGCCAATGGATTAAACTTTTTACCTGCCCCAGTGGTTGTCAGTAATGTTAGATTTGTAAGAGACTATGGAGGGTCTGTAGTGAAAGTGGTGGGGAGGATCATATGCAGGTGGGTAGGGGAGACAAAGAACTGGTGATAACTAAATGGTTGGGATGCGATTCTATGGAGGACTTCCCTGTTTCTCCCTCTTCTTATCCTCGTATTATCGACTGCCTCCAAGAACCAAGTTCTGTCCATTTGCTCCTGCTCTCTGTGCCCAAGCTAAGGTAGGATGGATGGTTGAGACGGGCCCTGACCACATGCTCCAGGGCTGCTCTCAGACTCCCCCGGATGGAGGCAGAACCTGAGGGCAGCACTGAGGTTTATGGCCGGTAGGCCTCCCGTTCTGCTTAATTGCTCTCCTGGGACATGTGGAATCAGGAGCAGTTGGGTGTTGCAGTCCCGGACCTTGCAGGGAGACGGTATAGAAAAATGCTGCAACAGCCATAACAGAGAGAAACTTGGCCAAGGAGAGTTTGGAGCCTTCTTACTTTTCTGCAGCTGGAGTTGGGGGCTGTCTGGTTGGTTGGGATGCTGAGGTAGGGTTATGATAGGATGATCTTCTTTGCAGGACTCCAAGGGGTGGCAGTCATGGGAAGGCTCTCCTGAGGGATTATTGGGATAAGGGGAATGTGTGAGGGCAGAGGTAGACATTTGATTCTTGCCCAAAGTTTCTTATTTTGGCACCCCAGCGTGACAGCTGCAACTTGTCTATAGCTGGCATGGGGTAGTTGGGCTTACGTGTGAGTCAGGGTAGGGACCACTGTCAGCATCTCACATTTCTGATCCCTGTTTTGACAAGGAAATGGCCCATGCTGGTGTTGTGCCAGCTGCTGTTTGTCAGCTGAGAGCTCAGGCCATTCTGGAAGGTGGCTTTAGTCAAGTAATGGAAAGGTGAGGTTTTATTGGCATAGATGGAATGTGTGGGTAGATGCAGACAAAGCTGTAGCAACTAAAGGTGACATCCATGGGCAAAAACTTTTTGGTGTAAATCAGGCCTTAGTAAGGGAATCACTTTTGGAAATACTGCTTTCTCTCATGGGTTTTGGCTCTAGGTCTTATTGCCATCAAAGCAGCCATGCTACTGCTGAGCAGTTTGACACGGTGCTTGTGGGCAGGCTCACTTTGGAGGGGCTGTTGTTGGGTTACTAGGCCGGCAGTCCGTTGTTAGGAATTGCAGCATTGCCTTTTTTTTTTTTTACCATTCACATTTGTAGTCTGAAATTTAATTTAACTCAGTTTATAATGGTTTGACATTTTTGTTCTGTCTACAGAGACTGAGGGATGCAGTTTGGATGTCTTTTTTAACAAAAGTACTAGGTGACTTGCAGCTAGAACAGTGGGGCGTGATCATCTCTTGCCCCTAACCACTGGTGTGACAATCCCAGGCATTTTCTGGGGAGGTCCTTTTGTAATACAGGTGACATGGATTGGATTGGATTGGATTGGATTGAATGGCTGAAGATATAAAGTTATAATACACTGACAGTTTTTGGAACGAGGACAGGGATCTGCATTGCACAACATCTGAAAACTCGAACTTGATTTGAATGCATCTCAAATTAAACTGAAATTGGGCAAAATACACTCTTCGTTTGCTTGAATGAGAAAATGTGGAATTCAGACAGTTTTAATTAGTTATTACTTCACAGACTATTTCACACACACAAAGGCATATTATCACCATTTTCTGTACATGACACTCCTCAGACAATTATTGATTCGCATGGCTAGTGATTATACAGTAGATTCCAAGTGTCGTGTATGATTCAACTCATATTGTTCTGAGGAGTACAAAGGAAACAATGTTTCCTTCTTTAATTCAGTAAGACAGTTAATGATATGCTGTTAGAAAGTATAATTTCAGGAAGTGTCAAAAGATACAAATGTTTAAAAGCTACTGCCCAGCCAAACAAGTTCAGTAAAGCACCAGGTACCTTCAGGCATGTGAGAGGAGGACAGAAGTTGAATGACTTTAACAAATTCTTCACCTCCGTTTTCTTGTGCAGGGACCGGGACTCCCCCACTGTGATTCAAGACGGACTCGAGGGGAACACCCCAAGACCTAAGGTTGAGGAGGACCGGGTTAGAGTGCTTCTGGAGGGGCTGGACGTGTTCAAATCAGCAGCTCCAGATGCTTTCCACCCCAGCGTGTTGAGGGAGCTAGCAAGGGTTATTGCAGGGCTCTTGGCACGGCTTTACGAGCGCTCGTGCTCGGGCCAGGTGCCAGATGATCGGAA